CATACATATATATGTGTGTGTACACATGTATATGTATATACAATTACATATACATATACATGTATATATACATATATATATATATAATGTATAGAAACATACGTAAAGCATGTAGTATTGTGCACACAGGAGAAGGACAATATATAGAAACATACGTACGTCGTCCAAGGCGCCTCGGAAGGCGCAGAATACTCCTCCAAGGGGCGGAATCATGTTCCCGGACCGCCTTCCGGGAACATGATGGGGACGACCTCCTGAGGGCCTCCAGTGGGCCTCTTGGGGGCCTCTGGGAGGCCTGTTGGGCTCTCCTGGAGGCGTCTTGGGGCGCGCTCAGGGCCATTTTTGGGCATCTTGGGGGCATCTGGAGGCTCTTGGGGGCCTCTTTGGGGCCTCTTGGGGCCTCGCGGGGCCCTCTTGGGGACCGCTGGGCTCACTTAGGCAGTCTTGAAGCCCTGTCGGGGCTCTCCTGGAACCGTCTTGGGCGGCTCCTGGGCCATCTTGGGGCTCTCCTGGGCCGTCTTGGGACGATTTTGAAGGTCTCTTGGGCCGTCTGGGGGCGGTCTTGGGGGCGGTCTTCGGCCGTCCTGGAGCGGTTTTGGGAAACTCTTGGACGGTCTTGGAGCGTCGGAACCCCGAAAAAGCGAGAAGGCAAACAACTTCGAAAACAAAAAAAAAAACGAGTTTGGCTTGTCGGGGCTCTCTTGGGAGGCCTCTTGGGATGCCTTCGGGGCCTCATGGAGCTCTCTTGGAACGTCTTCGGGCCTATCTGGCCATTCCTGAGGCTATCTATGCGCGTTTTGGAGCGCTCGCGGGCCGTCTTGGGCGGTCTCGAACTGTTCCTGGCGGTCCCAGGGGCCCCCCGGGACGCTTCGGACGCTCCCGGGGGCGCCCTGCATCCCCCGTGGAGATTACTGGCAGCGCCCCGGGCCGCCCCCGGGCCCTACTCCGATATACATATATATAGAGAGAGATATAGATATAGATATAGATATAGATATAGATATAGATATAGATATGGATATAGATATAGATATCGATATAATCACGCTACCTCTGGGCTATGTGTATACTATAGGCTGGGAGAAAGCGCACTATACCATTATAAGAATCACGCTCGGTCGGGTTATCTTGGAAGGGGGCGGAGCAAAGCTCTAGGCGCGGAGCTCATCATCTTGCTCTGCAGGAGTCCGTTCGGAATCCTCAACGAGTATCGTTTATCCGACCCCCATCCACAACGGCGTGGCCTGGGCCCCAATGGCCGATGTATCCCCCTAGATGGGGATATAGGCCGTTCCCATCGGGTTTCGAGGGGTGCATCCCCAACTGGGGGGGTAATTTGGTGGGGGTCTCGAAGGGGATGGGGATGGAGGTGAGGATCGGATAAACGATATTGACTTAAGTGACCCTTGTGAATTATTGGTGAACCTTGGCAAATCCAACGAAGTGCTGAACAAAATAAGCAGTAGATGTTGCTTGTTCCCGTATCTTCTCATCCAGATTCCTCCGAGTTCATCCAGATCCCCCCCGATTCCGGAAGAACCCTCGGGAAGCCTCATGATTCCACAGGATGCCTTAGGATTCGCCAATGCTCCTCAGGGGGCCGAGGCTGCGACCGAGTGGGTTTTCTATTCCCCGCTACGAAACGTGAAGCGACGCGTCGCGTCGCGAGGGTGGGGAAGGGTGTCCCTCATGATGTCTCGGGATCCGCTAGGTTTCCAGAGGGCTCCTAAGGGTTCCTCACGGTTCATCTGGATTGTTCTGAAAGCCCGAAAGTTTCTCAGGATCCCTTAGGGTTCCTCCGGATTCCTCGTGGTTGTCAGGTTTCCCGAGGAGTCCCCACGATACTGGATTCGCCAAGATGCCTTACGATTCCTCAGGATGCTTCAGAAGTCCCGGAAGTTCCTCCGGACTTCTCAAGTCTCCTCGGGTTTCCTCAGGGTTGCTCAGGATGCCCGCGGATTCGTTAGGATTGAACATGGTTCTTCAGGGCTCCTAAGGATTCTGGAGGGTTCCTTTGGATCCCTGCTAATTCCGAAGAGAGTATGATGAATTATCAAAGAATCGGGGGGGATCCTGAAGAACCCTGAAGGAAGCAGGGGGGGCCCTGAGAGACCTCAGAGGAAACGCGGAGTCCCAAGCAAATCTGCGGAATCCTGAAGAAATCGGAAGCCTTTTTACGGGACCCTTGGAGAATCTAGCAAGCCTGGAGAAGCCCGACGAGTCCTGAGGCACCCAGAGGAATCCCGAAAGGGACCTTCTGGATCCTGGGAAATCCGTGAGGATTCCCCAGCGAACGCTACGACTGCAGAATCCTTGAGGCTTCCTGGGGGAGCCTTGGTTCTACCGTTGCGTAAGTGCGGTCGTTTCAATAAGTTTTGCATTAGAATCGAACCACGGTAGCGGTTCTATTACGAACGGAGCAATTGTGAACGCCATCCGCACGCGGGAAGGGAAGCTATGTTTTTTCTCGTGTGCATGAACTCTGTATGTACGTGTATGTAACATGTATGTGTACTGTATGCGCATCGCATGTGGATGCTACTTGCAATGTAGTTGTATTGCGTTCGCGTCCCATCCTCCTTGTATCTGTTGTATTGTACCGAATCAAATCCCGAACCCGAACAAGGACCCGAACCCGTTGACCTTTACACTTGACTTCGACACTGCACAAGGGGAACGTTCAACCATAGTAGCAGAAGTAGTAGTCGCCGTCGTAGCCGTCGTAATAGTAACAAGAATACTCAAAATAATAATGGTCGTCGCAGTAGTAGTACCAGAAGTAGTAGTAGTAGTAATAATAGTAGTAGTAGTAGTAGTAATAATGATAGCAGTAGCAGCTGCAGTAGTAGTAGTAGCAGTAGTAGTAGTAGTAGTCGTAGTAGTAGCAGTAGTAGTGGTGAGAATAGTAGTAGTAGTAGTCGTAGTAGTAGTAGTAGTAGTAGTAGTAGTAGTAGTAGCAATAGTAGCAGTAGTACCAGCAGTAGTGGTATTAGTAGAAATAAAAGTAGAAGTAGTAGCGACAGTAATAATAATACGGCTAGTCGTCGTAGTAGTAGTAGTAGAAGTAGTAGTAGTGGTAGTGGTAGCAGTAGTAGTAGTAGCAGTAAAATGAAAGAAGCAATAGTAGTAGTAGTAGTAATAGTAGTAGTAGTAGTAGTAGTAGTAGTAGAACGAGCAGCAGAACTAATAGCAGTAGTACTAGTAGTCGTCGTAATAGTGGTAGAAGTCGTCGTAGCCGCAGAAGTTGTAGTAGTCGTCGTAGTAAGAAACCTACTACTACTACCACGACTACTACTACTACTACTACTACTACTACTGATACAAGTACCACTACTACTACTACTACTACTACTACTACTAATACTACTACGACTACTACTACGACTACGACTACGACTACGACTACTACCACCACTAGTACTGGTAATAGTAGTAGTAGTAATAGTCGTAGCAATAATACCAGTAGTTGTAGCCAGTGCCGTCGTAGTAGTACTAGTAGTAATAGTGGTAGCAGTAGTAATAGAAGTAGTAGTGGTAGTAGTAGTAGTAGTAGTAGTAGTAGTAGTAGTAGTAGTAGTAGTAGTGGTGGTAGTGGTAGTGGTAGTGGTAGTGGTAGTGGTAGTGGTAGTGGTAGTGGTAGTGGTAGTGGTAGTAGTAGTAGAAGTAGTAGTAGTAGTAGTACTAGTAGTAGTAGTAATTGTAGTAGTAGTAGTCCGTGGTAGTAAGTAGTAAATAGTAGTAGCTGTAGTAGTAGTAGTAGTAGTAGTAGGTTGTAGTAGTAGGTTGTAGGTTGTAGTAGTAGTAGTAGTAGTAGTAGTACACATTTCAGTACTAGTCGTAAAACTAGTCGTCGTAGTCGTCGTCGTAGTCCTACTCGTAGCCGTAGTCGTAGTCATAGTCGTAGTCGCACTCGTAGCAGTACATGTAGTGGTAACAATAACAATAGTGTGAGCAATAGTAGTAGTAAAAGTAGTAGTAGTAGTAGTAGTAGTAGTAGTGGTAATAGTAGAAGTAGAAGTAGAAGTAGAAGTAGAAGTAGAAGTAGAAGTAGAAGTAGAAGAAGTAGAAGTAGAAGTAGAAGTAGAAGTAGTAGTAGTAGCAGCAGTAGTATTAGTAGTAGAAGGAGTAGCAGTAGTAGTAGTAGTAGTAGTAATAGTAGTAGTAGTAGTAGTAGTAGTAGTAGTAGTAGTAGTAGTAGTAGTAGTGGTAGTAGTAGTAGTAGTGGTAGGGAGTAGTAGTAGTAGTAGTAGTAGTAGTGATGGGAATAGTAATAATAATAAGACTTGTAGCTTTCGTAGTAGCAATGGTCATAGTAGTGATAACACTAGTAGTAGTAGTCGTCGTCTTCGTCGTCGTAGTATGTTGAGGTGACGCCGACCCCAGGGGGGGTCCCCGAGGTCGGGTTTGGGCGGGCTCTGGCCAGGTGCAGGTCGAGGGGAGGAGGTCTCTCCCGGAGGGCATGATGCGATCGATACGGTGTCCATGCCCTTGCTCACGCCCCGACCACACGAGGAGCCAGAGCAGGGGCATGGATAGAATTCTGGTCTCCAGGGCCGCGAATTCTACCATGCCTTGCTCCCCTTGGCGCCCAGAGTGGGGGGCAGCAGCAGCAGCAGGGGTATGAATCGAGCATCAATCGTCGAGGGATCGCCCTTGGGCTTCCGCGGAGGCTCCGTTCCTAAGAGGCGCCCTCTCTTCTTTGGAGGCTTCTTCCCCCCTCACGAAACCGCGAAGCAAGCCTGATGGCTGTAGTCACCTCACGCAAAGTGCCGCCGAGGAAGTGCGAAACCCGAGTGCGAAGCAGAACGGAGAAAGACGATGATGGTGTGTGCGGGATCCCCACGGCCCAAACGGCCACCCCCAACGGCCCAAGCGGCCATGCCATCAGGAGGCCTCTGGGGGGGGTCCTGGAGGGCAGACAGGCCTCCACAAGAGTGGGAGTGCCCCCTTCGGAATGCCGGCCATCCCTCGCCCTGCCCTATTTGGGCGCCGCTGGGCGCCTGTGTAGGCAGGCGGCTGCACAGGGTCCCCGTTCTGCACGTACACGAACAGCCTCCGGCGGGCGTCCTCCTGTGGCCGCACCACGTTGGGGACGCAACGCAGGCGGCGGTAGCCCTGCACCAAGGGTACCATCGCAAGGGCCTTGACCAGCGCATACGTCGCCACCGCGTCGTCGTCGAACGCGTGCACTCGCACCGCGGGGTTGCTCTGACTCGCCAACGCGGCCGCGATGGCCCTTGCGAGGGAGATCGCTTTGGTCTCCTCCGTCACCCGGAAGTCCTTGGTGTCGTGGAACCGGGTGCGCATGTATTCCTCGGGGCCATGGCCATGGTCGAAGTTGCGAGGACGAGAGGGAACAAAAGCAGAAGGAGGATGTGCACACACTTCTCGCGCCCTTGTCACCTTGTCGTGAGACAACTTGGAGGGCCCAAGGAACACTAACAAAGCCGAGATGGCGTTGCATCTACTGTTCATGAAATTCTTCCTTGCAGGGCAGACACCAAAATGGGGGTTCCCCCTTCTGTGGTGGAAGGCCCAGTTTCTGTAGGCCACCGGCTGTAGGCCACCGGGAATGCATCTGTCGATGATCCTCGAAAAGTGGCTTAGCGCCAGCGTGTGCTTTTTCTCCGAAGCAAACAAGTGCGACGCGGGCAAAATAATGAGGGCCGACGCGGCCTACGTGCAGATGCACGGGGTACAACCGGACCAAAGAAAGAACATCCATCAAGAGCACGAGACCCTCCGCAAGCCAAAGCACACCAAACCATCATATCACCGAAGGTACCCTCCCCCAGGATGCACATGGAAATCCAACAAGCACGAAGAGCATTAGGGCACCCTCCCCGAACCGACCTCGATCTTCTACCTCACTCCGATCGAGACACACACACACATTTTGTAAGTCGGCGGCGCAGAGGACCCTCAGGCGCGAACGGCAGATGGAAGTGCCAATTGCGATCGAGCATTGTCGAAGGCGGTGCACAAACCGTGCACACTGTCACATGAACCAATGGGTGCTGTGAAGCAAAAACTGCAAATCCAAACGAAAAGTGTAGCGGCCAGAGAACCGAGGAAGCGGCTAAACTCGAAGTACACTGAAACGCGAGCAGTCTGGTGCGAAATGGCGGCCACTGGATCACCGGTACGACGGCGTTAGACAGAGAAGCGCGAAAGAACCTGTAGTTGCTGCCAGACCGACCGTAACACACATACGCACACACTGGACCACACGTCTACAGGAGCATCGAGTCTGCTGGTGGCCGCCCGTGCTCGCTGGTGCGCGCCCCGAGCCCGCGCCAGCAAGTCCGGCGCCAGCCGCACTCGTGAGCCCGTCACGGTGCTGGTGGGCAGACGAGGCAGAGACGCCTGCTGGAACGCTTGCTGTTCCGAGGCGATGTCGCCTCCAAGTCGTTGTTGGGTGGAGGATGTCTCTGGCGACACTGCCATGAGTTGGAAAACCTGGCAGGACAAGAACGGCTGCTGTTCTGGGCTGTTCTTGAGGCCCTCGAAGAGCGAGTCCAAAACAAGGGTCGAATGAGAGACCCCGTGCGAGTCAATGCTTGGAGGATATCGCGAGCGAGACGGCCAGGGGAGTAGAAGGACAATGAGGAGGAAGACAGGGACGAGGACGAAAAAAACGACGAGGACGAGCACGAGGAAGAATGTGGATGCTGACCCGAGGAGGTAGATGTGATAGCGTGAAGGAAAAACAGCGAGGGGGAGCAGGAGGACAACGAAGAAAAAGACAAGCAGAAGAACGAGGAGGAAGAGACTGGGGAGGACGAACACGAGGAACGGGGAGGAGGAGGAGGACGACACAGGAGGAGGACAGTAAGAAGCACGATGAGAAAGACGTCGAAGAAGGGAGAGCCTAGTGACCTTGTTTGGGCTACCCTTGGGATTTGCTGGGGACGTCTAGCAATGACTTTCGGGCCTCTTTGGGGCCTTCTGGGGTCCTCCTACGAACTTAAGGGGTGCTCGGGAGTGTATTATGGTTTGTTGGGGGGTTCTCTCGGGCCGTCTTAGCGCAATCCTGGGCCGTCTTGGAGGGTCCTCTTCTGGTGGGCTCTCTTGGGCCGCTGAGGCCCTCCAGGAGCGGTTTGAAGACGGTGTTGGTACAGAGACCCCTCCGAAGCCAATGCTTAACCATGATTTGGCAAGCGAAGCTGCCATCTTCCGATGAACCTCACCGTCCAAGAACAGGACCCGTCGCGCGTGACGATCCGCCGCCGCATTGCTCTGCCGTGCTGTGCTGTCCTGCTGCTGCTGGAGCCTGCTGTGCTGCTGTGGTCTGCCGCGCTGGCCTGCCAGGCTCCAGGGACCTGCCACGCTGTCGTGTCGTGTCGTGCGGGGCCTATAAAGGCTAAAAGAAGCCCGAGGCCCACGGAGCCCATTGGCCCCAGGGCCTCAAGGGCCAGCCCTGGGGGCCCGAAAGGGGCCCCCGCAGGGGGGGCGCGCAGCGCCAGACGCCCGCCAGGGCCAACGGGGGCGCCTAGGCCCCAGGGCCACGAGGGCGGGCAGTGCCGAGAGGCATGCAGAAGCAGCGAAGCTGCACAGAAGGGCTCACGTACACATTCAAATACAAGAAATGCGAATGCACGGAGCAAACGGAATTAGCGTCCGCACGCAAGGCTATGCAAGCTCACGTACACATTCAAATACAAGAAATGCGAATGCACGGAGCAAACGGAATTAGCGTCCGCACGCAAGGCTAACCGTCCTGCAGGTACTCCACGGTGTCCTCCGCGGCTGGTGTTGCGTCCTCCGCTCCACCTCCGCGCAAGAGGGCCGCTGGGTGCTCGTACAGGTAGGTCGCCACCGCAGCCCTTTGAGCAGCGCCGCGAGAGGTGGCCGTGCATGCCGTGCTGCTCGCCGAGCTCACCCCCGCCATCTCAACGCCCACGGGCGTCTCCTGGAGCGTGCTGCCAGCGCCAGCCACCGCCTCCACGGCGCCGCTCGGCAGCCCGAGCTCGCTGGCGAGGGTGGCGGTGAGGGATTGCCGCCTACTCGCTAGCTGCGCTTCCAGCGTCTGGCCGCTCGCCGCAAGGCGCGCCCAGGCGTCTTCCAGTTGCGCCAGGCTGTCGAACTGCGCGTCCATATCGGCACCGGCGCACTCGGCCCCATGGGCCGCCAGCTCGGCCAAGCGCCATCCAGCGTCGAGGCCGTCTACAAAGGCCGTGACCGCCGCCTCGAATGACGGGGCCTGGTCCACAGCCACGTGATGCTCGCCGTCGTACCCGCCCTGCGAGTTGCCGAACGAGTCCACATGATCGAAGCTGCTGTGCACCGAGAGCGGCACGGCGTCCCATGCGCCTGGTGCCAACTCGGCCATCAGCAAACTAGCCGCCGAGGGGACGCGACTGCCTTGCCCAGCAACGGACACAGCCGCAGACTTCAGGGAGCTGATGCCGTGGTCGCCTGCGTCGCCGCCAACGTCCTCCACCAGCGTCGGCTCCTGCTCCGCCGCCTCGGCCGCCAGGCGCCACTCCAGGACCTCGGCCTTGAGCGCGCCGTCAGCCAGCGTAGGCGCGGAGGGGAGCCGCCCAGCACCAGGGGGCGCGCGGTGCCTCGCCCAGTTGCCGCCTTCCAGGGCCTCGGCGGCCTCCTGGACCAGCGGCTCGGGCAAGCGCGCGATCCGCGCCGCCACCAGGGCCTCCCCGAGGGAGGCACAGTGCCCGCCCAGCGTGTCGCCCAGCTCCCAGTGGGCCAGCAGCGACACCCGGAATTGGCGGCACCGCTCGGCCAGCGCCGCCGCCCGCGACGGGCCCAACTCCGCCCTGCGCTGCCGCCGCAGGCGGCGCGCTAGCGTGCGCGCGCTGGCCGCCGCCCAACCGCCCATGGCCGCTTGCGCACCGCCTGGATGCGAGGGCCTCCCGTTTGCCTTGCTCCTTGAGCCAAAATGGCTACGGAGGACCTGCCACGCTGGTCTGCCGTGCTCCTGTGGTCTGCCGGTGCCGGTCGGCCGCGCTGCAGTGGCCTGCCGTGCCGGTCTGCCGCGCTCCTGCAGCCTGCGGTGCTCCTATGCCGTGCTGCTGCAGTCTGCCGTGCTGGGTTGACGTGCCGGTCTGCCGTGTTGCTCTGCCGTGCAGCTGTGGTCTGTAATGCTGGTCCGCCGTGGCCTGCCGTGCTGGTCTGCCGTGTTAGTGTGGTGTCTGCTGTGCTCCTGTGAACCGCCGTGCAGGTCTGTCGTGCTGCTGTGGTCTGCCGTGCTTGTCTACCGTGCTGCCTGTGGTCTGCCGTGCCGCGAGATGCGTTGTGTGCGTGTATCTTGTCTGTGAGGGTCTATACAATTTTGTTTGTTGTGTGTTGCGTAGTACGTATTGTGCGGGTGTACTGTGCGTGTCGTGTTATGAATGTTGTGTTGTACAAGGCGGGCAGGAGGGAGGGGCGTACGGTGGGCGTGCGCGGGGGAGGGGGCAGGCACATGGTATGTGCGCGTGCGTGTTGTGCATGCTGTGACGTTTGCCCCTGGGCCCTGTGTTTTGAGTTATGCATTGTGTCTCGCTTCGCATGTGTGTTGTGGATGCTGTGGGCGTGTGTGTGCGTCATGTGATCGGTGCTGTGTGGAGCCCACCGTGTGTGGACCCGCTCCGTCTCAGAAGGAATCGCCCTCCAGTCCCTAAGTCGCTATTCCTCACTGTTTCCCGTTTCACGAGGCGCGATTCCTCAGGGGGGCTGGGCCCCGCTACTTCTTGAAGGAATCGCGCCCCAGCCCCCAAATTATGAGTCCTTCCGATTTCCTTTGCAGTCGCGCTGTCTCGGGGGGCGCTGGGGCCCGCTACTTTTGAAGGAATCGCGCCCCAGTCCCCAAGTCGCGATTCCTTCATATTTTCCGTGTTCACCATTACAGCCGTTCCGATCTAGAACACTTTTGCTTTTCGATGCGATTCGATCGTGCATGAAACCAACACCGTGGTGAATCGAACCTTCAGGCCGTGAACCGCAAATAGGTTTGGCTTCGAGAAGGAGAGGGAGGAAAAGGAGCAAGACGAGGATGCAGCAGGCGGAAGACGAGGAGAAGGCGGAGAAACGACCTGGACTGGAACGATAACGATCCACCGCAGTCTGTCTTCAGGGCAGCTCGGAGCGGTCGCCGCGAAATGTGAAGCAGCTGAACATTCGCACTGCCACGGCAGGCAATCACCTGCGACGAGGGCGACGACGACGACGACGACGACGACGCGGCGACGACGACGAGCGGGCTCCCCCCTGGGCTCCTCCCACTCTGGGCCCGCGCGCGCGACGAAGCGGAGCGCGTGGCCCTCCTGCGCGTGGGCGTTCGCAGGAGGAGCCCCCCACATGGCCTCGAGGAGCTGGCCCCACCCGCCGGGCGACGGCTCGTGGGGGGACGATGGGGGAGGGGGAGGAGGAGGAGGAGGAGGAGGAGGAGGAGGAGGAGGAGGAGGAGGAGGAGGAGGAGGAGGAGGAGGAGAGGAGGAGGAGGGGGGACGATGGAGGAGGGGGGGACGATGGCGGAGGAGGTTAGGTTAGGACAGCCCCGAGGGGAAGAGACTAGGAGGAGGAAAAGGAGGAGGAGGAGGGGGAGGAGGAGGAGGAGGAGGAGGGGGAGGAGGAGGAGGAGGAGGAGGAGGAGGAGGAGGAGGAGGAAGGAGGAGGAGGAGGAGGGACGGAGGAGGAGGAGGAGGAGGAGGCGGAGGAGGGGGTGGAGCGTGCACCTCTCGTGCCACTCTTGGGCCTCAGGGGGCCCCTCCAGGGCACAACGGGTGCACCTTCGTTCACCCCTCCACTCGTCGCCCAACTATTAGTCAACGTCCGACTCTAGACAAGCGCGTTCCACCGGATCCCTGGATCCGCCGCGGGGGGTCTACGATACATCGCATGGAAGAAGACATGTGTTTTCGGGCGCTTGCCGATGGTATCAGGCATGGTGTATCGGGCGCTGCGAGTAGCGGAACGCGCTCGATGGTATCAGGCAACGTCCGATTCGAAGGCCACCATTAGGGGCCACTGGGCCCTCCACGGGAGCCCTGGCCGGCGGCGCGCAAAAGACGCGGGGCGCGCGGGCGCCATCTCGGAGGGGCGGATCTCCCCAGACCCCCCCGACGTCAGACGTGGACCCCCAGAGGTTCCTCCTCCTCCTCCTCCTCCTCCTCCTCCTCCTCCTCCTCCTCCTCCTCCTCCTCCTCCTCCTCCTCCTCCTCCCCCCTGTATCGCACCCCCCTTGCTCGACGCCCAATGCCGCCTGCTGTGCGCACCTACAGTGCTCGGCGGCACCCCACAAGGGCGCAGGGGGAGAGGCGAGCCTCGGCCCAAGTCGAAGGAGCGGGCCGAAAACCAGAGACCTCCCTATGCCCCGCCGGGGGTGCCCAGCGCGAATCCAAGAAATCCGCGCGGAGCAAGAAATCCGCGCGGAGCGCCAAGAGTTTATGCTTATGCTGTTTTTTCTTCTTCGACCCCCCACCCCCCAACACAAAAAACACACACAAACATGTCTTGAGAACTGGCGGCGTCCGCCGGCGAAGCACCCTTGTGTTACTTCCGCCGCCTTCCGCCAGCCTTCCGCTGGAGAAGAGATGGCGACCGCTTCGATCCCCCGAGGAGCCTTTCCCCAGGGCCAGTTTTTCGTCCTGGGCCGAAGCTAACGGCCCCAGGACCCTGCGACGGCCCCCGGAGGCTGAAAGCAATCAAAAGCCTCCGCCTTGAGCTTTCCCCCAGTGGCTTTTCACTCGAGGCTTCTGTTAATGGAGCCCGTGCCGGCCCAGTGTCGGCAGCCGTTTCGCTCGAGACATCCTCACACTTGATTCAGCTGCCGCACTCGCGCCGCAGTGCCGGCTACATGTTTGGTTCCGGACGGCCACGGCCCCTCGGAAAAAAACGCCAAGGTGCACATGGCCGTGATCTCGCCCCTGTCCCCTAGAGCCGACCTCCCACTCCTCGACCCACCTCTGTACCTTTGCTGCTACTAGAACGTGCGTTGCTGGGCTAATTTGACGGGCACGGGGCCCGCCAAGGGCCCCCAGAGGCCCAAGACGATGAAAGACCTCCGTCTTGCATGTGTCAAGACGTCGTATGCCCAAGTGCGCTTCGTGGTGAGGGCCCCGAGTCAACTCAGGGCAGCGAAGCCGCGGGAGAGGGCCTCCAGAGCTGGACTCCTGGACCCCCGTCCCCGGCTGAAAGGAAAGGAAAACTCTGGGATAGGAAAAAATTAGCACTAGAGGAAGAAAAACGGCATAAATATACACATTCGCATGTCCGCTCGGATTTCTTGGATCCGCGCAAGACCCCCCTGCCTGGCGCACGGAGCGCGCCAGGGGCGGCGCCGCAGGCGCCGCCAGGGAGACCCAGCGCCGATCCAAGAAATCAGCGGGGAGCGTCGAAAGTTTATATGTATGCTGTTTTTTTCTTCTTCGATGGACTGCCGTCCCCAGCCGGAATGAAAGAAAAACTCCAGGATAGGGAAAAGAAACAAAACAAAAAACACAAAACTAAAAAAACACAAACCAAACATATAGAGAGAGATGTGCGTATACATAGAATAA